AAATGAATCCCTAACGAAGTTGATGTGTCCTTGTGCTCTGTTTATAATCTCAACCTGATCATAGACGGGAAGCGAGGTAGGAGCAGTATATAGACGGAGAGCGAGGTAGGAGCAGTATATAGACGGGAAGCGAGGTGGGCGCAGTATAAAGACGGGAAGCGATGTGGGAGCAGTAGACGGAAAGCGAGGTAGGAGCAGTATATAGACGGGAAGCGAGGTAGGAGCAGTATAGACGGAAGCGAGGTGGGGCAGTATAAAAAACGGGAAGCGATGGGAGCAGTATATAGACGTAAAGCGAGGTAGGCGCAGTATATAGACGGGAAGCGAGGTGGGCGCAGTATAAAGACGGGAAGCGATGTGGGAGCAGTATATAGACGGAAAGCGAGGTAGGCGTAGTATATAGACGGGAAGCGAGGTAGGTGTAGTATATAGACGGAGAGCGAGGTAGGCGCCGTATATAGACTGGAAGGAGGTAGGCGCCGTATATAGACTGGAAGCGAGGTGAGAGCAGTATATAGACGGGAAGCGAGGTAGGAGTAGTATGAATTCAACAACGCCTTCAAGTATAAAACTATAAAAGAACTAATAGTATCGTTGCTAAAATAGGCTACTTGGCTGAAACTGGATCCCATGTCCGTCAAAACGGACGTGCATGTCACTTTGATCCTTAATCCTATACCAGTATGACAAGATATCTCCTCACAGAATCCATGAATGCTAAGAGATTGGAAGAATCAAATAGGGCTTAGCCCCCCCCCACCTCCAGAATCATGAGTCCACTGTTAAAATACTCCCTGTGAATAAAATATTTGCAGTGGATGCTGTTTTTGAACTGCCCAAATCACCGATACCTTGGATTGTCAACAGATTTTGGTAAATGTATTGTAAGGACCAAGCATCCAACTCAGATTGTCCGGGACAGTAATCACATTTACACAGCCAGGACAATGAAATAGTCAAGTTAAGGTTGTCAATTTCCAGCGAACGGATTTCTGGAGAGCGAATTTCTGGACTGCTTCCATGCCAATCATTAACCTGCTAGACTATGCTGTGTAGGGCCCTGTGAAGGGTAGTCACCTAACAAGACTTCCTATCCCCAAATCAAAGCTTCTATCAAGGAGGAATGGATCAATATGTCTAAAGACTTCGTTGCACTGTTTTCCGAGTGCGTATTGAAGCTAATTTCGTCATAGATGACTAGAGGTAGCAGAGATGTAGTTCTACAAAAGATCCTGAGAATAACAGAGACGGAACATGTGAAAAATGAGGAAGTTGTAAGTCAAATGGCAACAAAAAAGGACACTTAGAATCAGAGATAATTCTGGAAAGCAATGAGGAAAGAGGGCTATGAGATTTTGACACACCCAAGACATTAAAGGCACGAGGGGCAGGGGCTTATCTACCTAACGAGCTTGTACATATTAAGGGCAGAACAGGGAGTGAGAAGGATAGTAAATAAGCAAACATTGAACTATGAAGAATAGGAAGTTTTGGAGGGCCATGATCGTCCGCATACTAAAGGGACACAGCAACTAAAAGAAGAATAGTGGAGCTATAATTGCAAATAATAGAAGCCACATTGAATAAATTATTCGTTTTGATATTGTGTATCAATTTAATATATATATATATATATATATATATATATATATATATATATATAGATAGATAGATAGATAGATAGATAGTCATCCACAGACTGTTTTGCTGTATCACAGCACATCATTGTGGATAGACGTCCGATTGCTTTTAAGCCGATCAAAACCTGACTGATTTGATATCAGTCAGATATCTTACCCCTAGGCCATCGTCGCACGGCAAAAAGAAGGGAATTTTAAGGTTTTTCTTTATACGAAATTCGCCAGCCACTCGGAGAACTCAATTCATACTTAAAGATTAATGCATAATAGCAGGAGGAGCCGATGTTGTTTTTTTTTTTAAAAAAACTTTCCCTAAAGACGGGGTTATTGAAAAGTAACTCCCCATTTTAAAATACTTATAATTTATTTATTAGCTATACTTTTTACAAGAAATGGATACGAGTGGGGAAGTCTAGTATGAGGTTTTATTTTATATATATATATATATATATATATATATATATATATATATATATATATATATATATATATATATATATATATAGGAATAGTTGCGGGGTAGTAGGAACGTTCGCTTTCTGATCATGAGACCTGGTCTGAATCACGTCATGGTTGATTTGTTAGGAAGGTGACTTCTGATATTAGCGGTCTGGATGACAGTGCCTGAAAACCGTAACACAGCCTTGTGAGTGAAATTGGGTAGACGGTGGTTGCGCTACAAGTCATCGTGACCGAGGGTTTGAACGTGCTACCCTTCTTCAGACTGTTGAACACGCTAGATAATGCACTCTCTCCCAGAAACTGTAACTGTAAATAGATTGCAGTATAAAGCTGGGATCTGTGGGTGTTGAACAAACGCAAATGTGCCTGAGCAGACGTCTGCAATGCGGATTAGATAACCGCCCTTGTAGACTGGCATCCTCGAATTCGACTGGCTGCGTCATTTATATAGTAATAGTGGATCAGTTCATATTATTTACGGATTTGTTTTTAAGAAGGCACGGTGGAGAAGCGGCTCGGATTGAGAAATCGGAGAGACGAGTTCGAATTCCAGTCGGATCCATTACATTCACTTACGTGCTAATACCCTTGGGAAAGGTATGAATCTGGTTCTATAGCCTTGGATGGCAACTGGTCTACCGCAGAAAGAAATGGCGACCGACTGTGGAAGAAAAATAATCTGCCTCGTCGGTTATGTATCGAAAGATACATAATCGCCTAGGCATGTATCACTCATGACACATAACCGACAAACATAAATTAATGGAATGAATGCAACAACAATTCGAACTTGACTCTCCGATTTCTCAATCCGAGCTACAATCCATTTCACCACCGCGCCTCCGAACACCATACACCTTAAATATAATCGTCTTTAGCAAAATTTAGAACCGCAGAAAATATGCAATAAATAAATTAAAAATTATATTTTTTTCTCGCCTGTGGAACTCCTGTTTCCTACAATGTTCAAAAATTTAAATGCAACACCAACTATCATTTTCTCCTTTCCTGAATCCTGCACTATTATTGGCCTTTTGCCTCACCAAAGTTTTCTCTCAGTAACATCTTGTGTCATAGGGGTATTATCGCCTTTATTGAGGTTAAATGATTTAAAAAAGAAAAAAAAGAAAGAAAGAAAATAGAATAAAAAACAAACACAAGTTCAAGACTATAAGTAATCAAAAACATTATCACAAAGGAAAAAGTTAATAAGGGCCGATTTCCTCCCTTACATTTATATATAGATATTTAAATATATATATATATATATATATATATATATATATATATATATAAATATATTATTACTATTAATAATATTATTTATTTAAAGATATTTATATATATATACATTAAAATTATATATATATGTTATTAAAAATAATATTTATATATAGATATTTAAATATATATCAAAAATAAAATATATATATATATATATAATGATGTTATTAATAATAATATTTATATAAATATATTTATACATACATTAAAAATTATATATATATAGTATTAAAATAATATTTATATATCGATATTTTAACATATATTAAAATAATATATGTACATATAATAAAAGTATAATAATAATAATATTTATATATAGATATTTAAATGTACATATATACATTAAAATTATATATATATATATATATATATATATATATATATATATATATATATATATTAAAATAATATTTATATATAGATACTGGAATATATATTGAAATAATATATATACATATATAATAGTATTAATAAAATTAATAAAATTTATATTTATATATTTAAATATATATTAAATATATATATATATATATATATATATATATATATATAAATATATAAGTGAACATTGAAGTCAACACTCAAAGGCGACAGACTAGGCCACCTATATATATATATATGTGTGTTTATATAAAATAACATTCAAACTAAATAGCACAAAACTAAACGTATAAATCTAGATTTCAAAAAATATTATGGTAAATGTTTTTGTATAAATTTAAAATACCCCAATATTATATACATAAACAAACGCAATATATATATATATATATATATATATATATATATATATATATATATATATATATATATATATATATTTATATATACACAGATATATCAAATGGATTAAGTCCTATTATTATTTAATATATTTTTTTTTTATATGTTATTTTAATAGATACAACTTATTTAAGTACACGCCTGTTTTTAATTCTCGAACATTTAGGCTGGTAAATGTAATTAATAGTGTTTAATTAAAAATAAAGCATTTACTTAAATAAATTGTATCTATTAAAATAACGTATGAACAGAATATATATATATATATATATATATATATGTATATATATATATATATATATATAATTATGTATTTAAGAAACGATCCATTTTTTCACAATTTATATCAAAGACCACATGGTACTACAATTTTATTCAATTTTTTTTATTCTTACAAATATTTTTCTGTTCTGAACATAAAGGGTTATTACTACACTCAATAATATCAACTATGAACACAGCTACAACGTGCTGACTGTCTACTGAAAAAAAATTCCCATTACTATAGACACAGATATGTAAAAAAATACATATTCAGAAAAAAAAATAATAGAATAGCCAAAAGCGCTCGTATATGTAGAACATTTGTTAGTTTGTACTTAGACATAAATCTAGAAAAAGAAAATAGTTACGGCACATTGTGAGTCGTCTTTGATAAAACTTTTACACACACACACACACACACACACACACACACACATATATATATATATATATATATATATATATATATATATATATATATATATATATATATATATATATGAATATATATATATATATGAATAAAATAACAAGAAGAAATTTTAGACGACGCGTTTTCGCTGA